GTGGGTGGATCACGAGGTCAAGAGATGGAGACTATCCTGGTCAATATGGTGAAACCCCATCTCTACTAAAAATGCAAAAATTAGCTGGGCATGGTGGCACATGCCTGTAATCCCAGCTACTCGGGAGGTTGAGGTGGGAGAATTGCCTGAACCCAGGAGGTGGAGGTTGCGGTGAGCCGAGATCGCGCCATTGCACTCCTGCCTGGGTAACAAGAGCTAAATTCCGTCTCAAAAAAAAAAAAAGTAAAGTAAAGCAACCTGCCACAGAGGCTTAGCACTCTGACACCTTTTGTTTTACGGATACTGTGATCCAACGTCTCAATTCTATGTCTGCTAACGACACTGTGTCACGGAGATGACACAGTTTAAACCCATTTTATAATTTAGGTATAAAAAGCAAGATGTGAGTAGCTGGGAAGGTCCTCTTCTGAGGTAGGGTTCGGGCATTTACAGAACGGCACCGTTTTCTTTGTGACATAACGTGAGGCCTATCTCCCATTGTACAGGGTATGATATGGTACCAAAGAACAAAGGGCCTGATTAGTCTGAAGCACCCAACTTGCTTCTCTTCTTATGCTTTTTGATTTTATTTTTGGCCTTTTGTTTTCTACATTTACAAAAGGCCAAGAAAATCCATCCCAGGACAACTAGACAGCAAACCAGGAACTGAAAGTCGGACCTTCTGTTAATTTGGCATCAGAAAAAAAGACATAGGGAAAATGTTAGAAGGAAATTCGCCTGGCGTCTCAGGAGCATAAGGTGAATCTTGGCCTACCCTGAGCCAATTCTTCAGAAAAGATGCTTTAAAAAAAAAAAAAATTCGACTCGGGGGCCATTGTCTCCGCATTGCCGACCTCCAGCAGCAGTCGGCTTCTGCACGTAGAACCCGGGAGTAGGAGACTCAGATCTCTTCTCCCTCCTCCCTCCTGTGAGATTTTTTTGATCTTCAGCTACATTTTCGGCTGTGTGACAAACCTTATCATCAAACACAATGGCCAGCAACGTTACCAACAAGACAGATCCTCGCTCCATGAACTCCCGTGTGTTCATTGGGAATCTCAACACTCTCGTGGTCAAGAAATCTGATGTGGAGGCAATCTTTTCGGAGTATGGCAAAATTGTGGGCTGCTCTGTTCATAAGGGTTTTGCCTTCGTTCAATATGTTAATGAGAGAAATTCCCGGGCTGCTGTAGCAGGAGAGGATGGCAGAATGATTGCTGGCCAGGTTTTAGATATTAACCTGGCCGCAGAGCCAAAAGTGAACCGAGGAAAAGCAGGTGTGAAACGATCTGCAGCGGAGATGTACGGCTCCTCTTTGACTTGGACTATGACTTTCAACGGGATTATTATGATAGGATGTACAGTTACCCAGCACGTGTACCTCCTCCTCCTCCTATTGCGTGCCCTCGAAACGTCAGCGTGTATCAGGAAACACCTCACGAAGGGGCAAAAGTGGCTTCAATTCTAAGAGTGGACAGCGGGGATCTTCCAAGTCTGGAAAATTGAAAGGAGATGACCTTCAGGCCATTAAGAAGGAACTGACCCAGATAAAACAAAAAGTGGATTCTCTCCTGGAAAACCTGGAAAAAATTGAAAAGGAACAGAGCAAACAAGCAGTAGAGATGAAGAATGATAAGTCAGAAGAGGAGCAGAGCAGCAGCTCCGTGAAGAAAGATGAGACTAATGTGAAGATGGAGTCTGAGGGGGGTGCAGATGACTCTGCTGAGGAGGGGGACCTACTGGATGATGATGATAATGAAGATCGGGGGATGACCAGCTGGAGTTGATCAAGGATGATGAAAAAGAGGCTGAGGAAGGAGAGGATGACAGAGACAGCGCCAATGGCGAGGATGACTCTTAAGCACATAGTGGGGTTTAGAAATCTTATCCAGATCAAATTTTTCACCAGATCCTCTCCCCTAGTATCTTCAGCACATGCTCACTGTTCTCCCCATCCTTGTCTTTCCCATGTTCATTAATTCATATTTCCCTGCGCCTAGTCCCATTTTCACTTCCTTTTTGACGCTCCTAGTAGTTTTGTTAAGTCTTACCCTGTAATTTTTGCTTTTAATTTTGATACCTCTTTATGACTTAACAATAAAAAGGATGTATGGTTTTTATCAACTGTCTCCAAAATAATCTCTTGTTATGAAGGGAGTACAGTTCTTTTCATTTATACATATGTTCAGTAGTTGCTTCCCTAACTGCAAAGGCAATCTCAATTAGTTGAGTAGCTCCTGAAAGCAGCTTTGAGTTAGAAGTATGTGTGTTACACCCCAACATTAGTGTGCTCTGTGGGGCAGTTCAACACAAATGTAACGATGTATTTTTGTGAATGAGAGTTGGCATGTCAAATGCATCCTAAAAATAGTGTTATAGTCTTAATATTTGTTTTCTAAAGTTGATACTGTGGGTTATTTTTGTGAACAGCCTGATGTTTGGGACCTTTTTTCTTCAAAATAAACAAGTCCTTATTAAACCAGGAATTTGGAGAAAAATCACCCTGGTTTAAAAAAAAAAAAAAATTCATATCTAGAGAAAGGGTCTCCATCTGTTACGCAGGCTGGAGTGCAGTGTCGCCGTCATGGATCAGTGCAGCCTCCAATGCCTGGGCTCAAGCAATCCTCCCGCCTCGGTCTCTTGAGCAGTTTGGACCGCAGGCACACACAAGCACTCCCAGCTAATTTTTACATTTTTCGTAGAGATGAGGTTTCACTATGTTGCCCAGGCTGATCTCCAACTCCTGGCGCTCAAGCAATCCTCCTTCCTCGGCCTCCCAAAGTGCTGGGATTATATTTGCTTTCGTTCTTGAAAAATCTAGGGAAACTGTTCCCACCCAATGAGAGCTTTCATGTTTTGTGCCCCAGCTCCTGCAACAAATGCAGAAAAGTAATGCTTCCACCCAAGACCAACACCCAGGCATGGCGGGTGGGGGTGGATAAGGTAGAAGACAAATTGTTTTCCTTTTCCCAACTCCACTTCTAAATTTTTCTCAAAATCAAGCCTTCTGAATTCTTTCCCAAGTTTGTGTGTCCTGGAATGTGATATGGTGACGCTCTGTGTCCCCACCCAAATCTCATCTTGAATTGAAATCTCTCATAACCTCCACATGTCAAGGCAGAGACCAGGTCGAGGTCAGTGAATGGTGGTGGAGGTTCCCCTGTGCTGTTCTCATGGTAATGAGTGAGTTCACAGGGGATCTGACGGTTGTGTTTGGTAGTTCCTCCTGCGTTTTTCTCCTTCCTGCCGCCATGGGAAGAAGGTGCCTTCCATCCCTTTCCCTTCCGCTATGACTGTAAGTTTCCTGAGGCCTCCCCAGCCATGCTGAGCTGTGAGTCCGCTGAACCTCTTGCCTTCTCACCCAGTCTTAGGCACTTCTTTATAGCAGTATGAAAACTGTCTGATACAGACTGTGAATATGAAGCAGCATTATAAGACCTCAAAAGCTCCTAAGAATCCCATGCACAAGGTAATCAAAATCCTTTGCAACTTGTGAATCCAACTTGGGCTGAGCCTAAGGTTTTCAGAGAATCATCCATCAGACATTTTGTAGTTTCATGCCAAGTGTTCAACAATAGTCTGGGATTCTGAAAAAGAGCTAGAGGCCAGGCACGGTGGCTCATGCCTATAATCCAAGGCAGGTGGATCACCTGAGTTCAGGAGTTCAAAACCAGCGTGGCCAACATGCTGAAACCCCGTTTCCACTAAAAACATAAAAATTAGCCAGGTGTGGTGATGTGCACTTGTAATTCCAGCTACTCAGGAGGTGGAGGCAGGAGAATTGCTTGAACCCAGAAGGTGGAGGTTGAACTGAGCCAGGATCGCACCACTGTACTCCAGCCTGGGCGACAGCAAAAAAAAAAAAAAATAGCTAGAGAGTTTGAGATATAACATCTAGAATATTACACACCCTGTTTCTGGTAAACAGGCCTTCATCCCCTCCTGGCTGAATATCATGCTGTGACTTGCACAGTTTTGGGAAAAAAACAAAACCCTGTGTCCTTGGAAAGCAAACACAACTCCCTTCCATCGTATCCCTATTTCTCAAAGAAAGGGATATTTTTAAAAGAATTATCCTCCACTATATCTAAAAGAGGCGAGAGGGGAGAAGAATGTTTGCTGTTTGCTTTTTCCAATGTGCTTCTAAGTGTAAGTCTGTTATAGGCACCTCCCTCAATGTGTTCGTCTGTCCATTTGGTCACCATTCAACACTGCCATTCAATGAACAAAACACCAGCCAGTGCAGTGGCTCACGCCTGTAACCCCAGCACTTTGGGAGGCCAAGGCGGGCAGATCACCTGAGGTCAGGAGTTTGAGACCAGCCTGACTAAGATGGTGAATCTCTACTAAAATACAAGAATTAGCCTGGCATGGTGGTGCATGTCTGTAATCCCAGCTACTCAGGAGCCTGAGGCAGGAGAACACGGGAGGCAGAGGTTGCAGTGAGCCGAGATCGTGGCACTATTCCAGCCTGGGCGGCAGAGCAAGACTGTCTCAAAAAAAAAAAACCACCATTTCCCACAGGTCCGCTCATGAGGTGGGAGGCAGCTGCCTACGTCCCATGCACTGCCTAAAACCCCACAGCAAGCAAGCAGCTCATTTAAAGTCCTGAGATCCGGGCCAAATGCTGTTCAGGACTCTCGATTTCACGCCATAAATATGTTCATGGATGTCACACACTGGAATGATGAGAGATTAAGGGGAAACTCCACCCCTACGGCCCAACTTTGTCCACACCAGCACCTATTCAAATCTTCGAGGAATCGCCCTAAAATCTTCAAGAAGCAGGGCTTTGGGCGGGTGTCATCACTGAGCAAGAATGAAAAAGGACTTAAGATGTGAGAAGTTCAGACACCCAGAGGCTTGAGGGATTCCAGAGGCTCCTCCATAGAAGAATAGCTGTGGGTCAGGCACGGGGGCTCACACCTGTAATCCCGGCACTTTGGGAGCCTGAGCCGGGTGGATCATTACGGTGAGACCCCTGTCTCTACTCAAAATACAAAACATTAGCTGGGCATGGCATCAGGCACCTATAATCTCAGCTATTCGGGAGGCTGAGGCAGGAGAATCACTTGAACCAGAGGGTGGAGGTTGCAGTGAGCTGAGACTGCGCCCCTTCACTCCAGCCTGGGCAACATAGCGAAACTCTGCATCAAAAAAAAAAAAAAAATACAAACTATGAGTAACCATCCTGGTCCAGGGGGTCCCTGCAAACCACACTGCTTAGTCATGCAAGAGAGAAGGCACACCCTAAATCCAAAAGCCCAGTGATGCATGCACATTACCTGTGTTCAAAAACTAGTGCTTACTAACTGACTTCACAGCGGACCCCAAATGATTTAGGGACTTTTGAATACAAAGGCCCAAGGATTGCAATCGTGAGTGGCCCTCCATTCCCAGGTCCCAGGTGCCTGTGGGTTTTCAGTACTAACAGAAAGGAAATCCACCATGCTGGGTTTTAACTCCAGTCTCCTGGGCAGAGAAAGGACCACAGAGGCCCATGGGCACGGTTCTCCTCGTAACGATGACATCAATTGTACATAACACGGCAGGAACCATGGGAGCTAAATGTCTTCCGCGTTTCCTCTTTGCAGGGCAACAGTTCTGCGGCATGTATACCAACTGTTTCCCACTTTCTACATGTAAAAGCCAAGGGCCGCAGCAGTCAGGAGCCTGCAGACTTTCACACTACACAACGTGAGGCAGGACAGACCTGGAATCGAAGCCAGAAGTTGCGATTCCAGAGTTTCAGCGGTTTCACACAACCATCAGCCATTGTGCATCTGTTTCTGGCCAGCCCGAGTTTTGTTTTTCTGCTTTTAAAAAAAGCACAGTTTCAAATTGGCAAGCAAGAAGGAGAGGCACCAGCTGAGTGAGCCTTACTGTTCTTTGAAGCACAGCTTCTTTTTCTGGTAAGCAATGAAGCTGGAGATGGCTCCTGCCACGGCGACCACGATGGCCCCCACGATCCCGGGGATCACTCCTGGGGTGTCGGCTGCAGGAGGAAGCACATGGCATGAGGATTGGACACGCAAGGCACAGAGAAAATCCCAGCAGGTGCTCGCTGGCACAGTCAGTCCAAGAGCACCGAGAACCTCAAAACATGTGAGATGCCCGAGCTGACCCATCTGCAAAGGGAGCACGCTGGGAACGGCACACAGGGACTCAAAGCAGTGCACAGTCTCTGATCACCAGTCGTGGTGGACACACCTGGGCAGATGCAGTGGGGAAAAAAAGACACGAAGAGACGCCAGCGAGGTGCAGGGAGAAGCTCACCAGGACCAAGGCAGAGACAGAGAAGAGAGAAAAGACGAAGACATATGGAATGGGGTAGCTGCAGCCAGGCACGGTGGCTCACACCTGTCATCCCGGCACTTTGGGAGGCCAAGGCAGGAGGATCACCTGAGGTCAGGAGTTGGAGACCAGTCTGGCAAACATGGAGAAACACTGTCTCTACTAAAAATACAAAATTAGCCAGGCATGGTGGCAGGCGGCTGTAGTCCCAGCTACTCGGGAGGCTGAGGCAGGAGAATCGCTGAACCCAGGAGCTGGGAGCTGGAGGCTGCAGTGAGCTAGATCGCATGACTGCACTCGAGCCTGGGTGACACAGAAATTTACCATAAAGAAAGAAGACAGACAGACAGACAGACAGACAGACAGACAGACAGACAGGAAGAGAGAGACAGCTGGGCATCGAAGCAGGAGGAGAGCCCAGTAGGGGCAGGAGATGAAGAAAAGATCTGCAACGCTTGGTGCACTGCGAGAACATTTGTGTCGTTCAGAATGCTCCTTTCTCACCCCCCCCGAAAATGACTTTGGGTTTGCATGCAAAACATTTTAAATACACCTGTATCTATTTTGTTATCATTATTGTCATTATTTTGAGATGGGTTCCGCTCTGTCGCATGGGCTGGTGTGCAGTCGTGCAATCACAGCTCACCGCAACCTCAAACTCCTAGGCTCCTGAGATCCTCCCACTTTGACCTTCCAGGTAGCTGGGACTACAGGTGTGCACCACCATGCCTGCTTAATTATCATGGTTTTGTAGAACTGGGGTCTTGCTATGTTGCCCAGTCTGATCTCAAACTCCCAGCCCAAAGCAACCTGCCTGCCTAGGCCTCCCAAAATGCTGGGATTACACACATGAGCCACCACACCCAGCCTATTTTTTAAATGTCATTCCAGCAATAATTCTTTTTTGTTTTGTTTTGGGAGACGAGCCTTGCTCTGTCCACCCAAGCTGGAGTGCAGTGGCCTGATCCTGGCTCACTGCAACCTCTGCCTCCCAGGTTCAAGCTGTTCATCTGCCTCAACTTCCCAAGTGGCCGGGATTACAAGTGTGCCACCATGACTGGCAATTTTTTTTAATGGAGCCTTACTCCAATCTGTCACCCAGGCTGCAGTGCAGTGGCATTATTTTCAGCTCACTGGAGCCTCTGCCTCCTGGGTTCAAGCGATCCACGTGTCTCCCCGAGTAGCTGGGATTACAGAAGTGCGCCACCCATCCCTGGCTAATTTTTGTATTTTTCACAGTGACGGGGTTTCACCATGTTGGCCAGGCTGGTCTCGAACTCTTGACCTCAAGTGAAGCCTCACGACTCGGCCTCCCAAAGTGCTGGGATGACAGGTGTGAGCCACCGCGTGCGGCCAATGAAGAGATTCTTAATTCCATTGCCAATTGTGAACCTTAGAGGCCCCTTCTCCAGACAGAATCTTCTCCACCCTCCACGAGGGGCAGGAGAATTGTCTGACTTCCAGGAAAACACTGGCTCTAAATGTGGCCTGTGGGCGGTGTCTTCAATCGACCAGGTCTTCAATGTGTGCAGGAAAA